AGAGAGGCCTGTACACAGCCAAGCTTTTACGCACAGAGGTTTTCACACGGAAGCTTTACACAGAGAAGCTTTTACACAAAGAAGCGTCTAAACAGAGCATCTTTTTATACACAGAAGCATTTACACGCACACACACGGCGCATTTACACACAGACGCTTTTACGCATAGAAGCTTGTTCATAGAACAAGCTTTTACACAGAGAAGCCTCTATACAGCATCTTTTATACACAGAAGCATTTACACACACAAAAGCTGTACACACAAACAAAAGCTTTACACGCACGCCTTTACACACAGAGCTTTTACACACAGACCCTTTTACGCATAGAAGCTTGTTCACAGAGCATGGTTTACACAGAACAGCTTTTACACACCGAAGCTTTTACACAGAGAGAGGCCTTTGCACAGAGCAGCTTCTACAATCTCATACACACAGAAACTTTAAACAAGTAAATGCCCAAGCTTTTACACAAACATGTCTTTACACATAGAGGCATTTACACAAAAGTTCTTCACACAGATGCGGCACATGCTTCTAAACACAGAAGCTTTTGAACACAGATGCCTTTCCACACAGAAGCATTTACCCAGATACGCTTTGACATATACACGCCTATAAACACACAGAAGCTTTCAGACACAGATTTTTTTTTCAGGGAATCACAGAAGCTTTGACACAGAGAAGCCTTTACACACAAACGCTTTCCCACAGAAAAACCGCTTCCACAGAGCAGCTTTTACACACTTCAAAAAATCGCGGTTTTACGTAAGTTTTTGACGTTCGGCCATCATATCGTGCGAAAGGGTTGCATCCGGCGTTGGAAAATCGCAATTTTTGACCTTGGACAGTCATTTTGCCTGAAAGGGCTGCGCCTGACCTTATAAAATCGCAATTTTTCCCAAGTTTTTTTCGCGCGAAACGGTTGTGCCTGACGTTTCAAAATGGATAAAGTCGTAATTTTACACCAACTCTTGAACGTTTGCATCTGATGTAAAAAAACAGTTTTCCCGCACTTTTTGCCGTTTAACTTTCATGCCACGCTTGAATGAACTTTCAAAATCACAATTTTAAACCAGTTTTTGACGGTTGACCCTGATTTCGTGCGAAGGGGCTGCGCCCGGTCCCACCAAATTTGCATTTTGCCACATGTTTGGATGTCCGACCTGCGCGATCTCTGCAGAGGGTTGCCCGTGCCTAAAAGAAATTCACATTCCACCACATGCTTGGGCGTTCGAAACACACGATCTCCGCAGACGGTTGCTGCGGGCAAAGAAATTTCGCATTTCACCACACCACATGTCTGCCCATCCGACACGCACGATCTCCGCAAAGGGTTGCCCAAGGACAAACAAGACCCGCATTTCGCCACACGTTTGGGTGTCTGACACGCCGCAGGGGGTAACGTGTCGTAAGCCACCGCGTGGCTGTCCCTGCCGCAGAGAAAAATTGAAGAACTGGAGAAGCCTGATTTTGCAGGAGTTCAGATACAATTTGATCACCTGGAAGCTGAACTCCTGTGTAGCAACTCCTGTGTAACAATTTCTGTGCAAATGACCTTGCAGGCAGGAGTCTTGCAAGAGTTCAGGTAGAAGTGGATCACCTGCAAGTCAACTCCTGTGTAAATGACATTTCTCAAGTTTTGTAGGAGTTTCCTAGAAGTTGATCACCTGTAGCTGATGTAGGTGATGTTGTCTATGTTGTTGATGATGAAGATGATGTAAGTGATGTAAGGTTAGATAGGTTTGAAGATGTAGGTGATGTAGAGGATGCAGTGATATAGATGATGATGTAGGTCATGTATGCGTTGTAGATGATGTATGTCATGTAGATGAGGTTGATGGAAAAAGATTGTGTAGGTGATGTAGATGGTGCAGGTGAGATTGATGATGGTGATGATGATGATGGTGGTGGTGGCGATGATGATGATAATGATGATGATGTAGGGAAGATGGTGCAGGAGATGTAGGTGATGTGGGTGATGTAGAGGATGTAGTGATGTAGATGATGATGATGTAGGCAATGTATGTGTTGCAGTCGACAAAAGTTTTGAAGTCAAACTTCCCACAATATGGACAGATGAAAAGCAGAGATGGGAAATGGGAAGAGTCAGAGAGAAGAAGAGTCGAAGAGAGAAGATCAGAGAAGAGAAAGAGTCAAAGGAAGAAGATGCAGATGTGCGAAAAGGTAGGAAAAATGCGGAACGCTGTGTTTTTCCGATGATTTGTGGCTCCGGAGGGTCGAAAAGTAGGCTCGCTAAAGCGGCGGGTGCGGAGCCATCTGGCCAGATGAGAGATGAAAACTTGCACGCCGTTGTGGCGCGAAGCACTTTTCCAAGCCAAAATGTACAAAACACCACATGTTCGGACCACTTTTGGAAGTTGAGATGTCGAAAAAGTGCATGCCGTTGTGGCGCGAAGCACATTTCGAAGTCAAAATGTACAAAGCACACCATGCTCGGACCACTTTTGGAAGTTGAGATGTCGAAAAAGTGCACGCCG